TTTGACGTTTCGATGACTACACGGTCACCACCATCAGACAAATGACCAGTGAGGAACGTACTAGCACTGACGTATATCGTGTACGAGATGGCACGAAATCGACCAACTTTTTCGGCTGCAGTATAATTCTATGTACACTTGGGTCGAAAATAGTGTGACGAAATGGTACAGAATCGACTAACTTTTTCGGCTGCACTGTAATCCTATGTACACTAAGGTAGAAAATAGTGTGACGAGATGGTAAATAGATGATAGATAAAAGAATACACCAGATGGTAACAATGTACAGTAGTCAATTCGGCTACAAATAACACGTCATTCTAATGATCGACATTTTCTATGATAAATACTGCACACTTCATAACTTTGAATTTTCTCCATTTCGTGATAAAATGAAATCGGCAAGAATCTAAACATTGTAAATACAATATATCAAGGAAATTGTGATTTTTTTCCATTATTTCCACAAATTTGCAGCCTCTTTGCTTCAAACTTCAGGTAACACACCAAAATTTGAACCATTGAAAATAAAAATAACAGGTGAACAGTTTATAGGCGATCTAGTTCTATCACGATTAGAATAAAATTTTACACTGTTTTTAAGGAAAGCGTGTTAAATTAGAGCGAATTGAGAATATTTCCTTGTAAGGTGCCAAATTATCACAGCATAAAATCTTGACAGTAGATATCTATATGTCGGTACGTAATACTCCGTCATTTTGTCACTTTGTATGGGACCGATGTGTATGAAATGGGAATATAACAGATCATACATCCTCAATCCCATCCTTACCAAACCTATCTATATGGTGTTTTAATCACTGAGACCTTTTTTTCAAAATGAACTGTTTCAGAAATTTGAAATTTTCACTAACTTTCGACATATTATGGTCTTAATTTCTTCTTGCTTTGATGGTCTAGATGTATTTTTGACAATTTTGAGCAAAATTACACAAAATTATATCCCATTTTGAGAAATGAAACATCTTGCCAAGAAACTCTGTCTGTATTAGTATCTAGCTTACTGTAAAATTATTTAATTTTGTCGACTGTTTCAAGGTTTAGTTATTTTAATGCGATATATCTTCATGGACCTTAGTTTTTTATTATTGCTCTTGAAGGAAAATATATTCATGGGGTTTTATTTTTCGCGACAGTTCTGATGTGCAAAATGTGCGAAAAATTTGCGCACGAATTTAAACTTTATTTATTTATACAACGATTGCGAAACAAGTTATGTCAACTTATACTAATCACTCTTGTTGGCCCGGATGTAAGCGCGCGAGGGGTCTTATTGTGGGAGGAAACCGGAGTACCCGGGGAAATCCCACGTGGTCGGGCAGGTGACCCTCTTTTGTCTTTCTGTCCCGAGACACTGATCATGTATTCTGCAAAACTGACTGACAATCAGACAATCAAAACTTCAACAATTGTGATGTCCAATCTTTGTTTACTTGATGTTAAACGTTACGCTGAATTTCGCCTGATGACATACGCCAAAATAATTGTTCCGCGCAGAAATATAATTCCAAACTTCAACGGATATGGCAGTGATTTTCTGAATTAATCATCACCACATAAAAAATCGCTTATATCAACAGTTTTTATATATTGCTAAATGTAACTTTTAAGTAAATTCAGAAAGTAATTCTGTCGAATTAACGCACGTGCTAAAATACAGCTGTTTTCCGTCACTACCGAATACAACAAAAATATATATGACAGGTGTATTCCGATAATGGCAACGCCAGTTGCAGCATTAAAAATCAATGCATCTTCAGATTTTATTACAGGACCATGTTTAGTTGTTAGCTAGGCGGCATCAGGCCAGACGTGAAGGTTTTGTAAGTTGTACTCTTTTACAGTACCAATGATCGGCTAACATTAAATAAATATTCTAAAACAGAATTTATAAACAATATAGAATAATACTAAGCAAATAGTGTTTACATGTTTAAAAATGAGATGATAAAATATTTAATTTACTTGAAATCTACAGAATAAAGATGTTTTTTTCTATTGTGTTTGTGTTAATTGAGTTATAAAAGCCATACTTCTCCAAGCAAGGCTCGTTTTACATAAAGAAATTCTCTAACCTTTAACTTTCCACTGCTGTTTTAGGAGGTCGCTTGGTGCACGAAAGCAGTTTTCACCATTTGCAAATTTTACGACTTCAAATGTCTGCTAGTTTCGGACTAGTTTCATCGCGTCCACCATTACGTCTCTCCCCAGGAGATGTTTATATTTTCTGTCGATCAAGCTTAACACACATGTATGGATTACACAAAGCAATGAGCAGCTTTCTATCTCATGATAAAAACAGACGGATATTATGGTAAAAAATCTTACAGATTCTGACTCTTTATCAAGATATTTATCCGATGTATGTTATGTTCACTGTAAGATACAAAAATTGGTACTTTTTAAGGGGTTAAGTAGCCAGTACTTTATTTTACTGAGCTCTTGAAAAGATAGGATTTAGCAACCGTTCGCAAATATTGCGTAATCGATTACAACTGAAGAAGTAAATCATTCGAGTTATCTCCCTTGTGGGAAATCATTTCGGTTCAAGAGTACAGAGTGCCATTTACCTTTCGGTTAGACAACGCGCGGTAGAGAATTAGTCAATTTTAAATTCTCCTTAATTTTATAACACACAGGAAGGCAAATAATTTCTCCCCTGACAATCAGTGTAGGGAATTATAAATTTGGATGTTAAATGTCCATTAGTTCAATAGGAAGTTCGAGCGCTACAAACTATATAGAGTTTTTAACTAGTTAGTAAACCATCAACTTGCTGTGTTTGGAGTGAAGTTAGATAATGCACACATTATTCAAATAAATTAGGAATAGGTATTGATGCATTTATTCATTTTTTGCAGAAGTAACTTCATCAACGTTTCATTTAACATTAATTAAGTAATTAAGAAATATCGTGCAGAGAATGATTAAAACGCATGTGTTTCAGCACCTTCACATCCAGTCATAATCTCACTTTATGTGGTATAGGAAAATCAATGTTTAATTCAATTATCTCCAATGAATGCTTTTTATTGATAAATCTTTTATTAAATGCTACAGATGGATGATTATACAAGTATGTGTTTAATAGAAAAAAAAACAAAACCTAAAAAAAAGCGTAGCATTTTACGATTTATTGATTAATTAATCATGGTAAAAGAAACAGAGGAGTCTGAAGTGAAAGCAGACATAGATACAGCGTTATGCTTCTCTTAAAAAGCAATTAAAAAGTGCAGCGATCGTAAATATCTGAAGCTATGTATTGATTTGTTGATAATCGCTACTGTATTCTCGCCTGCATCACTGCTCATCTGGTGTCTAGATATTTCCACAGCCGAAACATCTAATTTCAATTTGATACTTATTCAGCTGAGAATACTTAGTTTGAACATGATATAACTTTTATATAAATGAAAAAAGTATATTCTGGTATCAGTGCATCGAGGCATTACTCGTTGTCACGTACAAAGCGGACACAGCGTGCGTATAGATATAGAAGGGAGGTAACTCTAATCTAATTTACCAAGTCGCTTGATCTCTTCGTAAATTTGTCAATAACTAGTTGAGCAAGACTATTTATCCACCTGAGTACTGCTTCCGGTTTTCAGTCAATTCAAAGGTAAAGAAAACACATCAGGAAAAGGAGGTAAGTCAGTACAGTCAATTACTTTGATTCTAAAGTTCTAGTCATTGAAAAACTCCGCTCAACTCATGTAGCTGCTTTGAGCTACGCTTTTAGAAATACACCTCCCTATGTGGATTTTGAAGTTAATCTGCGCCAATTAAATTTTCTTCTTGGCGATGCAGGTTTTCATTTTCTTTCTCTACTGTATATTCAGTCGAACCTCATTATCTCAAAGTAGAAAAACAAGTATTCCATTCAAGCGACTTCGAATGTCTGGTTAGAAGTTTGACTTGGACTTCCGAAATACTTCGAATTAAAGAGGGCTATCGAGTTACACGATTTCGAGAAAATGAGGTTCGATTTAAATTCTAAAGTTTTATCAACAGGTGTTATTCGTGTGTATTATCTGTAATAAGGCGAGTGGTTAAAGACCATGATATGGAATCATGACTATACATGGCCTTACGAGATTATGTTTGGTAAATAAACATATCATTTGAATAAATTTTGTTTGTTAGCTGGGTTTATCGTCCCGTGAACAGTCAGGATTATTTTGGAAGTAGGTATATCCTATCTTACTGAACAACATACAGGAGGATCGTCGCGTACCATTCATGGTAACTAAAATGGACTGGTATGCCCGGCTCAGATTGTTCCGTATCTTAGCTTTCGAAGTGTACCTCTTGATCCGAGATTACGTAAACCAGTCGTCTTCCGTAACTGCCAACCAGATTTCTTTCGTGTCTCTTACCTTCACGATTATAATATTACAGTTTACTACGATTAAATTTCACAGAAAAACCTATGTGATATTATTTACATTGTCCTTATTTGCGATGATCGCCATTCGCGAATTTGTGTCAATTCGCGACAGCAATTCGAACACGAAGGATTTTTGGTTTACAGTATGTTGTTTGGTTTCGTATTTGTTATTTATACTGGTGACAGCTAACGACAAAAACACGATCTTGCGGTGCGATCTCAGAGAGAAGACCAGACTATCACACGAGAGTACGATAACATACCCGCCTACATGTCACATCGACTAACCACAGGTGTACAAATATAGCTAAGATATCATCACCTCACAAAGAATATCGTTATATATATGACATTTCAAGTTGTTTTTCCCGGTTTTTAGGTAGCGAGATAATCTACAGCACAATTCTGTCAAATTCATTTACCTATTTTATATCCCTTTAACACATAAGGGTTCTTCATAGAACTCGTAACCTTCCTCACAGGGACAGAACTCATAGCCTTCCTCACAGGGACAGAACTCATTGCCTTCCTCACAGAGACATAACCCATAGCCTTCTTCAAAGGGACAGCACTCATAGCCTTCCTCACAGGGTCAGAACTCATAGCCTTCCTCACAGAGACAGAACTCATAGCCTTCCTCACAGAGACAATTCATAGCCTTCCTCACAGGGACAGAACTCATAACCTTCCTCACAGAGAGAGAACTCATAGCCTTCCTCACAGAGACAGAATTCATAGCCTTCCTCACAGGGACAGAACTCATAGTATTCATAACAGGGTCAGAACTCATAGCCTTCCTCACAGAGACATAACTCATAGCCTTCTTCAAAGGGACAGAACTCATAGCCTTCCACACAGTGTCAGAACTCATAGCCTTCCTCAGAGGGTCAGAACTCATAGCCTTCCTCACAGAGACATAACTCATAGCCTTCTTCAAAGGGACAGAACTCATAGCCTTCCTCACAGAGACAGAATTCATAGCCTTCCTCACAGGGACAAAACCCGTAGCCTTCCTCACAGAGACAGAACTCATAGCCTTCCTAACAGAGACAGAACTCTTAACCTTCCTCACAGGGACAGAACTCATAGCCTTCCTCACAGAGACAGAATTCATAGCCTTCCTCACAGGGACAGCACACATAGCCTTCCTCACAGAGACAGAACTCATAGCCTTCCTCACAGAGACAGAATTCATAGCCTTCCTCACAGGGACAGCACACATAGCCTTCCTCACAGAGACAGAACTCATAGCCTTCCTCACAGAGACAGAATTCATAGCCTTCCTCACAGGGACAGCACACATAGCCTTCCTCACAGAGACAGAACTCATAGCCTTCCTCACAGAGACAGAATTCATAGCCTTCCTCACAGGGACAGAACTCATAACCTTCCTCACAGGGACAAAACTCATAGTATTCATAACAGGGACAGAACTCGTAGCCTTCCTTACAGGGGCAGAACGCGTAGCCTTCCTCACAGGGACAGAACGCATAGCCTTCCTCACAGGGACAGAACTCATAGTATTCATAACAGGGACAGAACTCATAGTATTCATAACAGGGACAGAACTCGTAGCCTTCTTCATATAGACAGAACTCATAGCCTTCCTCACAGGGACAGAACTAGTAGCCTTCCTCACAGGGACAGAACTCTTAACCTTCCTCACAGGGACAGAACTCATAGCCTTCCTCACATAGACAGAACTCATAGCCTTCCTCACAGAGACAGAACTCATAGCCTTCCTCACAGAGACAGAACTCATAGAGACAGAACTCTTAACCTTCCTCACATAGAGACAGAACTCATAGCCTTCCTCACAGAGACAGAACTCATAGAGACAGAACTCATAGCCTTCCTCACAGACAAAGAACTCATAGCCTTCCTCACAGAGACAGAACTCATAGAGACAGAACTCTTAACCTTCCTCACAGAGACAGAACTCATAGCCTTCCTCACATAGACAGAACTCATAGCCTTCCTCACAGAGACAGAACTCATAGCCTTCCTCACAGGGACAGAACTCATAACCTTCCTCACAGAGACAGATATCTTCCTGTCCGGGAAAGACCTAATAGCCACCCGTATTTGGAATGAACCTCCTGTTTCCATCCTCAAAGAGGCGAAGGCTTATAATAAAGGCCAGCTCTTGTCCACATTAGAAATACAATATTTTTAGAGGTAGTTGGGTAGGTGAAAGGGACATGACGAAATATATGAACACTCATAATTACAGAATATATCTAAGTACACGATATTAATTTACAGTCACGAATTCGGAATCTAGACCCCGAAAAAGTGTTAACGACTTTATTTATCTGTTGCCTCGAACGTGTATCATTTGGAATGTTCCTTATTCTCATGTGTTTTTTCCTATGTGTTAATATCCCACTAGACACATCACATGGTCCTTTCTATAAACACCTACTGTTCAAGGGATGCCCAACGTGTTTTCTGTAGCCATGCTGTATACATACCAAGCTAAAATAAAACTATTACCTCTGTATATCGTGAAAACATGGGACCACTGAGACAATGTAAGGCTGGCAACATCATATTGTGGTTGCCTAGCAACCAGGATGCTAAATCGTTGGTTAAATAATTTATTGTAAGCAAGAAAAAATCGGTAAATGTCAGAAATTATTTTTAGACCAATAACAATGAAGCATAAAAAAAATAATAAATTTTCTTTACACGAACCGAAAATTATTTTTGGTGTTTGTAAAAGCCATAACAGTCTATTTCGATTTACACAAATAAACATCTTCTTTCCAGAAGAAGTGAAAAAAGTTAACACGTAAATATTATTAAAGATAACCTTACGGAGGAGTGGTGACAAAATCAGGGGGCTAAAAATCAAATCAGTATTTGTCACAAAACCTTTAGATTATGAGTGGGTTGCGTATCTGTTGGTACTGACTTGCACGGAGCTGGCTGGAAAAGTACATAAATAATGAATGTACAACCATTTTGTACCGATGATTGTCTTCGCGATGCAACTTGCATTTTCTCACATTCTGTGTCGGGTCCTGAAACCGGGTGAAATTAGCAGCTAAAACCATTCGTTTTATGTATAGCGAAAATGGATTTTTTCGATTTTTGTCTTAAAATGTCACTAATGATTACTGTTCATTGTCGTTAAAAAATTTACGACATACCACAAAACGGTTCTAAATGACTATAATTAGATCACGCGGCCTTCCCTGGGGATATTATGGGATAGCATCTCTGGAATTATGAGACGATATCCTCAGTGAGTAGCACCTGTTTCCTTAATATAAGAGCTAGAACTAGTGTTTGTTGAATAATGAATGTTTTCTTGAGAAATTTTCGCGTAAGAAATTATCTTCTCTTTTCCAGCGACTCCTCGGAAGTGATAACTTTTAAGATTTTTAACCAACACACTGCACTAGACGCCAACGGTGTAATAACTGTAGAATATTTCGACTTATCTTTCGTTAATCTGAGATACAGTATGTCTGCTTTTACCCATGGCGCAATATCTATTATTCTTGATATCGTAAATGCTATGACTGTAAATTTCTTAAGGTCTTTGTCTTTGTAAGTTGACATTGTTTTTAAAAAATGAAAGAGCAGATTTCGAGACGTCTGGAAATGCTCTAATCAGAACCCAGTATTCTATATGGCGTATTAGTCGTAAAATCTATTTATTTATTTTCGTAAAGATTTCGTTGCTTGTTACGAATTTTCAAAATGATATTTCATCCTTAGCACTTGACTTCTGCTTTCTGATTCACGGTTTTATTTCCCTGTGTTTTATTGAGTTTCTAATCCGTCTTGCTGTTTAAAAAGCCTTTTTCAAAAAAAAAAAATAAATAAAATAGAAGTGAATAAAAACGTCTTATTACAGATTTGTGTCTATTTCGAGTAAAACTGCTTCTCAGCAATATATTGTGACCAGTGAAGTCAGCAGGGCTTCAAATTTCATCAGTACGCATTTTGTGTTCAGTGTTCAACAGAAAGATTTTGTAAGAATACTGTATATGCGACGGGTTGGTCATTCCTGGTTGATTATAAGAACTTGGAAACAACTCAGTAGAATAGATGTTGGTATCAAATGCATTTCGGTCTCCCTAAATGAACAAGAAACAAAAAATCCTTTGAGCGTTTTATCAGCTACTGAAAATAAATTCCGGCTTGCGGTATTCCATAGCCTGATCATGAGAGGCGACTAATGTGGAGCTACCATCCTAATCCCTTAGTTTCATGCTAAAATACTGGGTGTTGGTGGTTGGATTGTAACCATCATATTGTTTTATGTAAATCTAAATGTGCTAATTTTCGATTGTATTACAAATAGCTGGATTTTCGGTTAAAAAGCAGTTAAAAAACACGATCGTTGTGTTGATCAAAATTGGGGAATAAATAAATCGCGAGCGATCACTGGAAATTATAAAACTTTACCGGTATAAATTCATCAGAAGTTTAATGTACGTCTCTGCTGTCTACAGAAACATCACAAACTATCATCAAAATTAGCGAATCTAGCCAGATAAAACATCATCAACGTAACTACACATAATCATTGGAACACGCACTGGGGAAATATCAACAGAACGGGAATTGTCTTTTGTATCATCCAGCAACAACCAAGACTATCTAGGTAAATACAAGTCACGTTCTCAAAGTGCGAACAAAGACACTAACAAACAGGCAAATGAATTTTCACCTTTCGACCTAACACGAAAGGAAAAAGTACTAAAATAAACGGGACCGTATCATATGTTCCTGAAACACCCGCAGTTTAAATTGAGGTACATAACATTGAATTGATAACAAATATGATAAAACTTTAACAGTATTTGAATTTTACCAAGTTATTGTCTGTGCAGATGATTTTTTTGTGAGAAAAAGAACATCATCGTTATATTTGTCGTGTCAGAAACACGTAATTAAATCTAAATCTAACGTCATCTAATGTAAATTTCGAATAAGCGAATGATCCCCATGGTAACCATTTTCTAAGATCAGAAAATAGATTCCATTTTTTATTTTGATGTTAGATGTTTACTTATACAAGAGTTTCCTTGATAGTTTGACTTCTAAATTCCAACCAAAACCCGCTGTATGGCGGCCATCTTGTTAAATCATAAAGCAGATATTACTAATACGGTTCTGGTGTAAAACCACATCTACAATACCACATTCTATGGAAATCGGAAAATTTCTAAAATTTGGCAAAATTTTCATCAATGACACGACCGCCATTGACCGATCAGACGACCAATCATATGACTGTTCGAGAAACGTAAAAACCCTTGCACTCCGCCTATGAATCTAGTTTCGTTTAATTCCATCCAATAGTTTTGAAGAACGTGCCAGAAACCTTGCTGACGTTAGAAAGTGAAAGAAATAATGATAATAAACGGAGGGAAACAATACTCCCCTATCCCAAATTTATTTCATTTGGGGAACGTAAGTACATTATAAGCAGTATCAAGTTTGACGAGTTTGATGGTCTGGTGTACGTCTGGTGATTCCGTCGTAGTTTACCTTGTTCTCATTTCGGAACGTGACATTACTTGTTTGGATTGGCCAAGATTTCAATGGCTGGTGTCGGTGACGAAGCAGAAGACCATTATCCTTCCGTAATACCTGGTCGGATTCTTCTTATCCTTGTTCAGGCAATTATTTTGTTCATATTTTGCTCCATGCTCATGGAATTCGAGTTTGGATTAAGTTTTCCTTGACATATCGATAACTTTTTAGTTGTTCTCTCTCTCTCTCTCTCTCTCTCTCTCTCTCTCTCTCTCTCTCTCTCTCTCTCTCTCTCTCTCTCTCTCTCTCTCTCTCTCTCTCTCTCTCTCTCTCTCTCTCTCTCTCTCTCTCTCTCTCTCTCTCTCTCTCTCTCTCTCTCTCTCTCTCTCTCTCTCTCTCTCTCTCTCTCTCTCTCTCTCTCTCTCTCTCTCTCTCTCTCTCTCTCTCTCTCTCTCTCTCTCTCTCTCTCTCTCTCTCTCTCTCTCTCTCTCTCTCTCTCTCTCTCTCTCTCTCTCTCTCTCTCTCTCTCTCTCTCTCTCTCTCTCTCTCTCTCTCTCTCTCTCTCTCTCTCTCTCTCTCTCTCTCTCTCTCTCTCTCTCTCTCTCTCTCTCTCTCTCTCTCTCTCTCTCTCTCTCTCTCTCTCTCTCTCTCTCTCTCTCTCTCTCTCTCTCTCTCTCTCTCTCTCTCTCTCTCTCTCTCTCTCTCTCTCTCTCTCTCTCTCTCTCTCTCTCTCTCTCTCTCTCTCTCTCTCTCTCTCTCTCTCTCTCTCTCTCTCTCTCTCTCTCTCTCTCTCTCTCTCTCTCTCTCTCTCTCTCTCTCTCTCTCTCTCTCTCTCTCTCTCTCTCTCTCTCTCTCTCTCTCTCTCTCTCTCTCTCTCTCTCTCTCTCTCTCTCTCTCTCTCTCTCTCTCTCTCTCTCTCTCTCTCTCTCTCTCTCTCTCTCTCTCTCTCTCTCTCTCTCTCTCTCTCTCTCTCTCTCTCTCTCTCTCTCTCTCTCTCTCTCTCTCTCTCTCTCTCTCTCTCTCTCTCTCTCTCTCTCTCTCTCTCTCTCTCTCTCTCTCTCTCTCTCTCTCTCTCTCTCTCTCTCTCTCTCTCTCTCTCTCTCTCTCTCTCTCTCTCTCTCTCTCTCTCTCTCTCTCTCTCTCTCTCTCTCTCTCTCTCTCTCTCTCTCTCTCTCTCTCTCTCTCTCTCTCTCTCTCTCTCTCTCTCTCTCTCTCTCTCTCTCTCTCTCTCTCTCTCTCTCTCTCTCTCTCTCTCTCTCTCTCTCT